GGCTCCCTTCAAACCCATTGTTGCTGCAATTCAAACACATCTTTCAAGTAAGATTCAAAATTGTTTCAGTGTTTTTTTATTTTATATTTCACTCGATTTGTGCCTCTCATCTTCTTTCTTCGTGTTTGTTGTGTCTGTTCGTGAATTTCCCTTGCTGCAAAACAGAGGTAAGTTCTTCAGTTCTTTGTGTTGACAATCTAGAGGTTTCAATGAATTTCTTGATTTCTAATTTATCTATTGCATTCCAATATAAAAATCATTAATTTCTTTGTGTTTACTTCTTCTAATTAATTTCAATAAATTTCTTGATTTCTAATTTATCTTATTTGAAATATTGCATTCCAGTATAAAAATTGTTAATTTCTGTGTTTGATATTAAAGATTTAGATTTTGTGACCAAACAACATAACTAGTAAAAAATCAACTCAAAGAGAAAAGAAAGAAGCCAGCAATTCCTTTGTTTTTTCCAGCTATGTTAACTCACAATTTCATTATTCTTTTTTGTTTTCCTCAAAGACGTTCAGTTCATAGAATTGTACAACATTTGTTTCTTAACATTATGTTTCTTAAATGGATTTAACATTATGTTTCTATCAGGGAATGAGTCGTTGATCACAAGTTTCGCACTGTTGGTAATCTCTCTCTCTCTCTCTCTATATATATATATATATAGATATATCTATGGAGTTTAGGTTTTGGGTTTGATTTTGATTTGACTTTTTTGGTTTCAAATTTTTTTGAAGGATATTTGTGGCTAAGCGGCATAACGGGTTCAATCACCTACAATTGGTCCCAACCTAACATGAAAACCAGTGTTAAGATCATTCATGGGAAGACAAAGTGGATGAGTGGGAGGACAAAGTGGATGAGTGGAAGGACACATGGCAAGACAAGAATGAAGATGGAAGAAATGGGTAGTTACTAAGTAGTTATTGCTGTATTTTTTCTTCTATAAATAGCCATTAATGGCTACATTGTAAAAGATCCAGAACTTAAATCAAAGACACTTGATTCATAGGAGTAGAGGTAAGTAATTATTACTTTGATTGTTCACTCAATCATCTTTCTCCGTTCCCCATTCTTCTTTTAATTTTTCTTTTCTTTACACTTGGCAATCTTGAAGTCCTCTTCGTTGAGGCAAAAGAACCGTCAACACAATCGCTTGATAATTGGCTTGAATTTAATCTGTAAGGATTTTTCAATCCTTGCTGGCACGCTCGCATTTATGACATTTTCCTTCGTAGGAAAAATAAGCCAACATATATATATGTTGGCTTTTTGGCTTTTCGAAGGGTATTTTTGTGAATGTGAGCGTGCCAGCAAGGATCAATCAGTCCTTACAGAAATTGTGATTGCCAACCAATTATCAGACGATTGTGTTTTAGTTCTTTTCAGCCTCAATGAAGAGGACTTTTACTGGTGGCTTGACTTAGGAGAAATTAAGAGAAATAACAGTAATATGAAGAACAATTGAAGTATTTCATAAAAATGAACACTTACAATGGTCCGAACTCAGCCTCGGAGAGGTTTACAACAGCAATCTACTTGAATCTACTTGAAGCTACTCCTATGAATCGAAGTGCAGTGCGAGTATTTAAAGTGCAGGTATTTAAAGAACAGGTATTTAAGGGCTGGAAATGTAAATGACTGGAAAGAAAAATATATGAAGTAAATGACTGGTTTGTATGGTCTGAGTCCGTCCCTCTTTCTGGGGGCTACCCTGCTATTTATACTCGTCAGTGATGACCTTCGAACTGCACTTCGAACTGTCGAACTGCTCCTCCATGATCGCTGGTCATGCTTCCTTACAAGTAGCTCCATTACGCCATTACTGGCAGTTGAGCTTCCCTCTTGTACTTAGATTTGAATATGAGTAACCGTTTGAAGACACGTCATCTTGCATCCCGTTTATTTGATCTAGTGTTACTCGGATCATGTGAGGACCAATGTTTATTGTCACGTGTACGATCAGGATTAAAGGCTTGAATAACCTTCCTTTATTACCCTTACTATGCCACGTGTCGAACTGTAACTGGCTTTTACAAAATATGTAGCCAACATTTATTTTACTAAATTAATTTTTATTATATGTTTAGATGATGATCATGTAATGTGTGGTTGTTAGATTTTTAATGTGTAATCAATATATTTAATATATGAAATGTTTTCAGTTTTGAATTTTTGAATTTAATGGATTAGTTTAATAATGGGAACGAGGTCATTGATGTACCCCCTCCCTGCTGTGCCATAAAACGGCACAGTTTCATCTTCTTTCCTCCCCCTTAAAATCTATGTTTTTTATTTTAGGGTTTAGAGTTTAGGGTTTAGGGTTTAATTCTTAAATTTTTTTATTTATTTATTTTTGGGTTTAGAGTTTAGGGTTTAATTTTTAAAATTTATTTTTCTATTTTATTTTATTTTAGGGTTTAGGGTTTAATTCTTAAAATTTATTTTTTTCTTATTTTAGGGTTTAGGATTTAAGATTTAATTCTTAATTTTTTTTAATATTATTTTAGGGTTTACGGTTTAGGTTTAATTTTTAATTTTTTTTTAAATTTTAAGGTTTAGGGTTTAATTCTTAAAATTTATTTATTTTTATTTATTTTAGGGTTTAGGACTTAGGTTTAATTTTTAAAATTTATTTTTTTATTTATTTTAGGGTTTAGGGTTTAATTTTTAAAATTTGTTTATTTTTTATTTTAGGTTTAGGATTTAGGTTTAATTCTTAAAACTTATTTATTTTATTTATTTTTTTATTTTAGAGTTTAGGGTTTAGGGTAAAGTGTAATTTATCATGCCAAAAAAATATAGTGACAACATGAAAAAAAAAAAGTGGTGAAACTGTGCCGTTTTACGGCATAGCAGGAACACAGCAGGGAGGGGCACAGCAGTAACCCCTGTCCTTTAATAATGATATCAAAGTTGTTGTCATATTTGAGTTTTGAAAAAATAGAAACTAATTTAATAAAAGTAAAAATAACCATCCATGACATGATCATCATCCAAACACATAATAAAAATTAATTTGGTAAAAAAAAAAATAAATGTATAAAAGATTTATCAATTTTATATAATTTTATCTTTGGTGGGTAAAAATAGTTTTTAAAAATTCAAAAATCTTTTTTTGACATTTATTTTTGTTAAATTAGTTTATATTTTATCAAATTGACGACTTTGCCTTTAAAATAGTATCTTTAATTGTCCTTATTTGGAACAAAATTCAAAATTTAAGATCAAATATGTCAAAATTAAAAAAATTAAGGACTAAAATGACATAAGTTTTAAATTATAGAGACTGTTAGTATAATTTGACCAATTAAAAATTATGAATAAATTTATAGCTCTTTTTTATTTTATTTTATTATTATTATTTTTCCGGAGCTATGTGAGGGTTTGATTAATTATTCGAGTGGTGGACCAGTAAGTGATTGTAGATGGTTCATTCAATCTGTACATATTTATAAATATGACATTGACATGAAGATATATCATTTTCCTATCATGTTCTCTTGCAACTACTATTTTTAATTTCTCAGCCTCGTGTTTCGCGTTTGTTTCCTTCTTATGTCTTGTAGTTAGTAATCAGGGATGAATTTATGCTGGGAGCCTGGGACCATGGGTTCACCGTGCCGTCCTCAATAAAAAGATTATTAGTTTATAATAATTCTAAAGTTAATAAAATTTAACACAATTAATATATTAAACTTATCAAGTCTAAGCCCAACAATCAAATACACCATCACTATAAAGAGCATCAAACTTTTCTCCAAAGGAATTGAACCCAAAATATCATACTATAATAGGTGTTATACAATCACTACGTCCAATGTCCTGCTTAACACGCCACATAATTATATATAGATTTTTTTTTTAAAAATTTAATGCAATGGCAATATCATATTATCACTGATACGCAAGATGTAAAAGTTATTGGATTAATAATTACATTTAACAAGTGAGGTTCACTCTCTAGGTGTTGATTTATTACTGTTTAGTGATACTACATGTCAATGATAATGTGATAGTATTGTTATACTGATTTTTTCTCAAATTTTGTACAAAAAAAAAAAAATGTATATTATTATATAATAAAACTTATATGCATTTTTTTTTACATTATCTATAATATACTAGTTACAAATTATTATTTTATTGTTATTGATTATTGACAAACAATTTCAAAGTTGTAATTATTAGTGTTCCATCAAAATTAGTAAGTGTTTGGCATGCACTAAAAAAAATATATTTTTTACATATATGTACTTATTTGGGTCACATCAATCAACATCTTCTCTCTATTTTTCTACTCACATTCTCTACTTTTCTACAGATATTTTTTATTATATAAAAAGTCAAAAAATACACTTATTTGGAACATCTCAAACAACCCCTGATTTCCTAGCGCCACTCTCTCTCCTTCTCTCTCCCCAGCATAATATAACCTCACTTTTTGATATTTTTATTTTTAATTGTGACAATTATTTTTTTACATTTTAAAGTTAAGTTGTAATGTTACTTTTCTATCCATTTACCATTAATAAAGTTGAGGAAATTTGTTATGTGAGTTAAACGTAACATTTTTATTTAAACCTCATTAGCACTCTTATGTTTTTATCAAAATCTCACTTTAATTTTTGAATTAAAATCTCATTAGGTTCACTTTCACTTTCAAATTTTTGTCAACCTCATTAACATTAGATAACTAAAGAATGACATTGCAACTTAATTTAAAATATAAAGAGACAATTGTCATAATTGAAAGTGAAGCGATCAAAAGAAAATTATAATAAAAATGTAGGGATGCTAAGTGAAAAATTACATGTGTGGTTTTAATTACAAATTTATGAAAAAAAATGTATAATTTTATATTTTAATATTTATAAAATTTATTACTAATTTAAAAATATTTTCTAAACATTGACATTTCCCTCCTTTTTAAAATTTTTTAATTAATGTTCAGGGTGTGTACATAACGTAGAGTTCTATATATACATGCCTTTCGCTAACTTGTAATTAAAACAGAGGAAATCACAAAAGAAGAAAAAAAATGAAGGTTGTGGTGACGTCAAGGCAAACCATCAAACCATCCAACCCAACACCCCAACACCTTTGCCAATTGAAGCTCTCACTTCTTGATCAAATACAACAACCACACTTTGCTCCTTTTATCTACTTCTATGCATCATCCAATTCAGGGCTTAACAAAGCCACAAATGATAGAAGAAGAAGTGAGAAGCTAAAGGAGTCTCTTTCTGAGACACTATCATGGTTCTACCCACTAGCTGGTCGTGTCAAAAACAATCTCTTTTTTGATTGCAACGACGAGGGTGTCCCTTTCTTTGAAGCCCAAGTCCAATCTAATCTCGACCATGTTGTTGGACAAAGCAATTCCAACTCCCCACTCAATTGCTTGTTTCCATATCCTGATTTTGATGATGCTGGGGATCTACTCTTAGCTGTCCAACTCAACTTCTTCGACTGCGGTGGCATGGCTATTGGTGAGAACCCGTTTTGTATCATTTATAAGTTAACTTTTATTATCATAATAGTTTTTTTTTATAAAGATTATTAACTTCAAAAAAGTCAAACATAAATTGTGTGGGATAACTTTTAATGTTTTATGAAAAAAAATTAAACATGTTTGATTCAATAAGTTGTTACATAACTTTTTCTTTTTGTTGTTTTGTAAATATGTAGAATAATCTCGAAAGTTATAATTATGACAAAAGATATAGCATTTTTTTTTTTTATGTCCTTGCATATTTAAGAGTTCCAAAAAATGGTAAAAATCATAAATTAATATTGTAGTGTAAAAAAATCTCACTAATTTCGAGAGGCCAAGTCAATTCAAAAATGTAATCAAACAGCATTATTAGTTTGTTTTCAAACAAATAAGTTAAATTAGCTTATTTTAAGAAGTACCTTTTTTTTTTTGACTTATTGTCTTATTATAAAAAAAGGTACGAAAAAGTTAAGAGATGATGTAATCCGAATAAGTCAATAAGTTGATTTTTTTTTTTTGACTTCCCAAAAATGCTACTAAACAAGCCTATAATACTACTGTTTGGATTAAAGAGTCTAGTTTAGCCCATTTTGGGTTTAGTAAGACAAAAATTGGGGGGATTCTATTTGAACCCAAAATATATTTCAATATGCCTAATTTAAATTTATAAATTTTAATTCATATTATATGATAATATTAATTTACTAATAAAGACAACATATATTAAATCCTAAAATAATTTTTTTTTTCTTATGGTATACCCTAATCAGTTATTCCTATTCAAATTTCTGTATCTTTTTTCTCAATAGATCAAAGTTATTTCTTCTTCTTCTTCTTCTTCTTCCCTCCAAAACTTCAATCTACCCTCCCAAAACTCACCATCATCATCAATATCATTGTTTTTTTATTATTTTGAAACTCTAAACCCTAGAAGAAAGTTTAAACAAAATCAAATAATGGATGGGAGTAATAATCAAAATAGTTTTTGAAGCAACCTATCAAACAAGAGGTAAATATTCATATAAAGAGGTTTCACAATTTTTATAGAGTACCATCAATTATTTTCTATATTATTTTTTTGACAAAAATTAAAGAGCCCAGTTGTTAGATTAACAATAACATATTATTGGAATTGTTCTTATTTTGTCATTTAAATAGTACATTATTTGAGAACTACTCTTTCTTGTTAGTGCCTGATACTTATGTGCTTATAAGTTTAGTTTTTACTTTTTCCACGAGTATTTTTGTGAATAATTTATAATGTAAATTTTTTTTTTCTTTCTGTATTGAAAATTTTTATAATGCTTATGTAAAAGTTTAATTTTTTCTGTATTTATAATGCTTATGTGCTTATAAATTTGGTATTTTCCCCTATATTTGAAAATTTGAAATAATTTAGTTCTTTTAGTTTGTTTATTATTTATTATTTGGGTTTACCTTGAGGTTAATTTGAAAAAAATAATGCGTAATGAGAGTAAATAAAATTTAAATAATTAAATAAGGCGTACTTAATAATTTTTTAGGCGTAAATAGAATCCCCAAAATTGCCAATCAATCTGAGGCCCAAAAAAAAGAAAAAAAAAAAAAAGGTTCATTTGATCACATGTCTTTAAAATTAACCGATGTTTGGACTGAAGGTCTAGTGTAGCTCAGAATATTACTATTTAAATCACGTGATTTTTTTTTATAAAAAAATGAATAGTTTATTTTTTAAATTATATATTTGTCATCCACCCAATTTGAAATTGCCAACTATCTGATTTTTTCCAGACAAGTTAGAAATACTAAAAACTAAACAATCTAGATCAACAAAGTGAATCCGTAATGTGCTAAATTGGATCTACAATCCATTGAGTAGAGGGAAGCCACAAATTCTTAGGCTTTATTTGTTTTCTGTTGTAGGAGTTCGGACTGAACTTCTAGTGAGAATAGTAAAAATAATATCATATTTATTTCGCAAAGTGAACTCTGGATTCGTAGTCCGGAGCGGATTACTAAAGGCCTTGGTGAGTGGATTATGAATATGGGTTGGGAGATGGTATTAAAAAATAGTCCGTTTGACTTAGGGCGTCACTGGTCGTTTGGGACGACATTTGGCCGGTATCTGGCCAAGTGCAATTTTATTTTTTAATTAATTTTTTTACATGTTAGGCCGCACACTTTAAACATTAATGTTTAATATTTTTATATTTTTTGTTAAGAAAAAATCATAGTTTTATTTATTTTATATAAAATAATTTAACAATCCCCACACTAATAAGTATCATCAAAAGAAATATAATTTTACTTAATTCCCTCACTAACAATTCCTTCACTATTAATTCTATCTAATTTTTCTCTGAAAACAAACGGGGCTTTGTTGTCAATATTTTATTATCTTACTACTTATGGTAAATTCAATAGTTTAATAGCTAATTTTTTGGATAAATTATAGACACCTTCTTCAGATTCCTGACTATTACACTAGTCTTCCCTCTTTTTTAAAAAAAAATTACACTGACCTCCCCTTGTGATTAATGGCGTTGATAGAATGGTTAGTTTAGTAACTTTAATATTTGAGATATTTTTGTTGATAATCATTAAATGCACAATTTTTGGTGGGGGGGAGAAGACTAGCCTAATTGTTAAAAATTTTAAAAGAGATGAGTATAATTTACCCTAATTTTTTTGATCATAGTTATGATAGTCGTTAACTTTACACATATAGAGATTGTTTAAAATGTACTTAAAAAAATGAATTTATTTATATTTTTATCTTTTTTAAATTACATTACTTCTTTAATTTTTTATACATTTTTTTTATATAAAATATCAATAAATATATTTATTTAAATCATTCTAAACAATTCCTTAGTTGTCGGTGAGGTTCAACTTTCCTCCCTATTTATGGATAGCTTTTGAACTCTCACCTTTCACTTTCTTTGTCAAGTAGATGCAAAAATCCTACGTGGGAAAAAGGAACTTCAATACAGTAGTTTATTATTTATTACCACATCATTGATATAACAGTAACAATGAAAGCGGCAACAATAGTTGTATCACAGTTAATTTGGAAAGTCTATAAACAAAAATAAAAACAAAACATAAATATATCTACAATTTTAATTTGGCGGTGTAACTTTAATCTTTTTGTCATGGATCCACTCCATAAATAAATCTCAACCTTATATTTTATATTGAAAAATTTAGAAATTCTCTAAATATTGATTTGTGATTATGTAACAATTTTAAGCAGTATATAACAATCCTAATCAAACAATCAAGACAAATCAACACAGAGTCCAGATCCTCGGCAATGGTTTCCTGCAGTGGCTCCTACTGTGGTGTAAAAACGACGTCGTTTTGATTTTTTTTTTTTCAGCCCCTCTCTTACACTCCATTCCCAACTCTGAGACCCATATCAGAGAGATACCACAAGGATGACAGAGAAGAAGAAGGATCATCTCTGTTCACATACAATACAATCATCTACTCTCAATTACCTAGCGAATCCACGCCTAATTGAACCAACTTCTATGTGCCTCTTCTAACCCCGTCTTCACCTCGGAATTGTCTTCACGATGAGCCACTCCAGAATCCACCGAAGCTTCAGGCTCGAATTCTTCAGAATCCACCGAAGAACAACTCTCTCTCTCTTGTGTATAGCAAACAAAACCTTTGATGTACTCTCTTTAAACCATGAGTTGAATACTCAATAAAACATCAAAGAAAACTAACAAAATATTCCCAGATATAAACCTTAAGAACCAAAAAGAAGATCTGGAGAAATTCAGGAGTAGTCTAGTTTTGGGAGAAAACCAGCTACTTATAGAAAACCAAAAGTAATCCTAGATGTGGAAGAAAACCCAATCCTTATTGAAATCCGAAAAACTGTGTTCGCGCGGTCCACTCGAGCGCCCAACATCCCGCTCGGCTTCAGCAAAATATGCGCGTGATATAACAGAGGTCCGCTCGAGTGCTAGAGAACCCGCTTGAGCACGAAATCACACATCTCAGTACTTTTACAGGCGACCAAAACTGCTGGAACCAAGGATTCTCCGCTCGAGCGGGGTAATGTCCGCTCGAGCGGATAGGCAACTTGGAATGCATTTTTGCATTTTGCTTCGGGGGCGCTGCCCCTCGATCCCGCCGTGGCGCTGCCCCAGACCCGCCAAGGGGCGCTGTCCCCTGGACCCCCGTGAGCTAACCGGGCAGCTCGATCCCCGTCATAATTAGTGAACTGACAATCTTGAAAGTATTAGCATCACAAACTTCTCTGAAAGACACAATTCGGGTTGGATTAGCATCTAAATACTCATAGCCTCACTGAAATAAAAGTGCGAAAATAAATACAACTGAAAGCAGTTTTGTCAAACAGGATTGCCAAGAATAAAACCTAACATATATTCTCAGAAAATTTTTGGTTTTTTTTTTTTTGGATTTGTAGACCCACTCATCACCATATAAGTAGATATTCGATAAATACATGAAATGTTATGATAGTGCATTTTAACCCTCATCGTAATTTTACAAGAATGATTTAATAATATCATTTTTTAAATAAACTCATTTTCTTCTTCTTTTTGGATCGGTAAAAGTCAGTTGTTAAATTAACGCCTATGAGAGTTAACTTACTCACCCTACCTCCTAATTCAACTCTCCCTCGGAAAGAATTGAGCCTATAAGCTCTTATTTGGGATTAAACTCTTAAGAGAGTCATCTTCATAAGTATTTTGTTTAAAAATAAAAAGTCTATATTAAATCATATCATTCCGTATTTATATTTATGTATCATTACTCATTTTTAAATAAAAGAATAAACGAGACATATAAAGTGAAGTTTTGGCCTTCATTTATTCATACATGAATAGTAAACAATCAGCTTTTTAGGGACAAATTTATTTCATTCCTAAAAATGTAATATCTGTTGGGAAAAACTTTAGCCAACTAATTTTGTCTGTCGCGAAGTTTATCCCAAATGGCCTGTCTAGAAAATTCAAAAATTGTCTTTTAGAGACAAAATTTTGCATTTGTCACTGTAAATAGATTTTTAGAGACAAAAATATGTTGTTGTAAAAAGTTTTGATATTATGGAGACAAAAAATTTAGTTTTTGAGACAACCCAAATTGGTCTCTAAACGTTTTTAATTTTTGAGACAAGCGGAAGTTGTGTCTAAAAGTTTTAGTCTTCCAGGCAAAAGTTATAATGTTTTTTCAAACAACTAAAATTGGTCTCTAAAAGTTTGATAACATACTTTTTTTTTTTTTTTTTTTTTTTTTTTTTGTTTGATAACATACTTTTTTTTTTTTTTTTTTTGCTTTTTGATTTTGTAACAATTACTTTAAGAATACTAGTTTGAACATAAACTCATATTCCTTACTTGATTTCTTAACAACCAAACAGAAAATATCAAACATATCACCAGACTATATGTTTATCTCCGAATTAAAATTCAACAACACCAAAAAAAAAAAAAAAAAAGCACCATGCTCATTGCATTCAAAGAGGCTTAATCAAAAGATATTTCAATGACAAACAAATATTATGCTCTGCTTCATTAATACGTAATATTTGATTGTTTATCATAAACTGATAGAGATTTCAAAAATATCATTTCCAATTTATAAGGCTAGTGACATAAGCATTGTTTGTAGCATTCAACTATTCAATGAATAGATTGTAAATTGTAATTATATTTACCTACAAAACAGAACAACTCATCCATCACATCTTTTTCTCAAGGGTTTCATTGAAATGTCATTCATGAGCTTATGGATACGAATATTTTACCTTAAAATCGACCTATATCTCTTCAATGGTGATTCAAGTATATGATTAATCAGTATTGTTTTCCCTCTTTTAGTCCTTTTTAGCTCCAGATCTTTCAGCTTCGAAGATTCAAGCTAAGATATGATCGATACGATCGATCGAGATTTAGGGATTCCATCGATTGAGAGAGAGAGTGGTGTAGAGAATGAAATGAAATCCCGACTATTGAAGCTCAAACAATGAAAATAAATAAAATAATGTATGAGTTAGTTTATTGGAGACCAATTAATGTTGTTGGTAAAAAGTTACTAATCTTTTTGCAGCCCAATAGCTTTGTCTTTAAAATGTAGTAGTATGATTAAATATATTTTTTTAGAAATTCTTTCATTTTGTTCTTAATAGTATAATTTTTACAGACAAATTATTTTTGTCTCTAAAACTTTATATCTTGTAGTGAGTAAATAAATCCAAGTACTTATTTATTTATTTATTTTCCCCTCTCCAACAGGATTATGTACTTCACACAAGATAGCAGATGCATTATCAGTAGTAATGTTTATGAAATTCTGGGCAGCTGTTAGTCGTGGAGATTATAGCAATTTGGTTTATCCCCAATTCGATTCGGCCAACATCTTTCCCCCTACACTTAATCCCAATACCAATCACCACAAGCACGGCGTTGGCACTACAAAAAAGAAGATCATTGCAAAGAGATTCGTGTTTAGTGACTCCGCCATCTCTACTCTTAAAGCCAAATACACCCCCACCCCCACCACCGCCACCGCCACCGCTACTGCCACCGCCACCGCTACTGCCATCGCCACTGCCACTGCTGTCACCGCCAACAACAAAACCATACATAATAATCCAACTCGTGTTGAGGCACTTTCTACTTTTATATGGTGTAGATATAAGGCTGCCACTCGAGGAAAGGCGGTATATGGAGAAAGAATTAGATACCCAGTGATTCAAGGGGTGAACTTGCGCACGAGACTCAATCCACCTTTACCTAATTCATATTATAGTAACCTTAGTCGATTTTCCATAGCAATATTAGCACCACCGGCATTGGAAAAAGGCGCTATAGGAGAGGATCATGGTAGCTTGGTCACTCAGATGAGAGATGGGATAAGAAAAGTTAATAGTGACTATGTAAGGAAACTCCAAGAGGGTGGTGGTGGTGGTGGTATGGGGGGCTTGAATTCCAAGAAAGAGGAGGGTGGTAATAAAGGAGGAGGAGGAGGAGGAGGAGGAGGAGATGCAGTGTTTACTTTTATGTTTTCGAGCATAGCTAGGTTTCCGCTCTATGAAACTGATTTCGGATGGGGAAGGCCTGTATGGGTGACTTCAGGTGCAATAAATCTTGATAATACAGTTGTTTTCCTTCCTACTAAATCGGGTGACGGCATAGAAGCATTGATTTTTATGAATAAGGGCGATTTGGCGAAACTTGAAACTGATAAAGAGTTTCTCTCATTTGTTTCCAATCCTAAATTTCCACTTCTCAGCTCCTTATAAATTGTGTGTAATTTCTTACTATTACATGACGTTGAGAATATAATATAAATAAAGTTGTGCTACTCTCCAATAGAGCATAGCATCTCAGTTGACAGGCCTCTTTTTTTTTTTTTTAGTTTTTATATATGTCTTTTTCCCTCTTTTTGTAATGTTTTATTATCATTAATAAAATATATCTATTTTTCCTGAATAAAAAAAATGTTCAATTTTAGTTTTCATATTTATTTTTATTGTGTATGATTCAAAGTTCGTTGTTTAACATGAACATTGGTAATATTGAGAAATAAACAACCTATGCTTTTTCAATTAAAATTCTAGACAAATAGTAAAAGAGAAATGAAGAACATGCATATTTCGAATCTTATTTACGTTTTTTTTCATTGTTCAAATAATTAAATATTCCCATTGTACGGGAAAGAAATAAACCTTCTCGTATGATCCTGTTGATCAAGTTTGCACTCCTCCAAACGTTGTCGCTTTACTCCCTGAAAACACAAACGTGAGCTAACCGGCGGGTGTGTGCCGAAAACCCCTCCGATGCCTAAGTCAGCAACTAGACAATAGACAATATGCTCTGTGTATTCTACAGTAAGAATTGGGATACCTGTCCATAGGTTTGGTCATGAACTTTTATAGACTTTACTTTGGCACAATCCTAGTAGGATTCCAACTCTCCCTATGAGAGTCCTCCTAGGAATCACACACCCTACTCACTACCAACCAAGTGAGATGATTTTGCACAATCCTAGTAGGACTATACTCTCCTTAGTCCTCCTAGGAGTCATACTCTTACTCACTACCAACCAAGTGAGATGGCTGAACTTTTTACCTCGGTTATACATTCCTACCCGAACTGATTTATCTTGGCCCCCTGCCCTTCGGACCGTGTGATCGAAAGCCGATCTAACGGATGCCACCCTGCCGAGCTATGCACAGCTCGGCCCTCGCCATTGATGCTACCTCATTTTAATAAGCTGCTGCAACCACACCGAGCTAAGTTACCTCGTCACACGCTTAAGTAATGATGTAGATGACGGCCGAGTTATACCAAGACCGGCGGCCGAGCTATACCAAGCCCGACATCCTTTCTCACCAATACCTCGGCTAACCACCAGGCCCACTTATTTCGGCTGACATCTTTACCTCGGCTAACATTGCGGTCAGCCAAGTTACTTCGGCTCTGTGATACTTTAAGCACTACTATCAGTCTTGACTTCGGGATGACGCCTTGTAGAGCTATCGTTTAGCTCGGTCCTCTTTCTACCGATACCTCGGTTCATAGTTCGGCCCAAACCCAAAATATGAGATGTCTTTTTGGCCTAAGACCGAGCTACACCAGCCCTTATCTCGGCCCATTACGCGGTCTAACTCTCAAAGAAGACTCTTCCTAGCTCGGCCCAATTTGTTTACAAATTACCCTCTCAATTTCCCCTTAATTCCATCTGCGTAGCATGATTGGGATTATTTTTCCTCCAGCCGAGCTAAGAAGTTGTTCGATTTCACGGCTTGTTCGGTCCCAATAAGCCTTGTCAGTTGCTTAGTATGTCCTTCCACTAATCTGGTACGACGTTATTCCCAGGATACATGACGTGTCCCCAATATCCTTGTTCTCCTTGTTACCATCGTCATGCCAAAAATTTGAATAGCCCTGATTTTTTTACCTTTAACGTATGTATCCTTCGAGTTTGTATACGTCGAGTCGTTCTTTCTGTGTCTTGCTGAACAGACTAACTCGGTATATATCCTTCGAGTTTGTATACATCGAGTCGTTCTTTCTGTGTCTTGCCGAACAGACTAACTCGGTTTATACGAACCTTGCCAACCTGTTTTGGCCGAGGTAACCATCATCCCGGTCAAAGAGTTCCAAAAATTTGTTGGTCAAACCTGCCAACCTGCTTTGGCCGAGGTAACCATCATCCCGGTCAAAGAGTTCCAAAAATTTGTTGGTCAAATCTGCCAACCTGCTTTGGCCGAGGTAACCATCATCCCGGCCAAAGAGTTTTAGAAATTTTGTTGGACATATATGCCAACTTCCTGCAGCCTAGATCCTTATCTCAGCTTAGGAGAAGTAAGTGTTGGTTTTTCCAGCCAATCACTCTTTAGCCGATATCCTTACTTTGGCTGAAGAGTACCAAGTGTTGGTTTAATCCAGCCAACCACTCTTTAGCCGATATACTTACTTCGGCTAAAGCGTACCAAGAGTTGGTTTAATCCAGCCAATCACTCTTTAGCCGATGTCCTTACTTCGGCTGAAGAGTACTAAGAGTTGGTTTAATCCAACCAACCACTCTTTAGCCCGATGTCTTTACTTTGGCTAAAGAGTACCAAGAGTTGGTTTAATCCAGCCAACCACTCTTTAGCCGATGTCCTTTCTTTGGCTAAAGAGTATCAAGAGTTGGTTTAATCCAGCTAACCACTCTTTAGCCGATGTCCTTACTTTGGCTAAAGAGTACCAAGAGTTGGTTTAATCCAGCCAACCACTCTTTAGCCGATATCCTTACTTCGGCTAAAGAGTACCAAGTGTTGGTTTAATCCAGCCAACCACTCTTTAGCCCGATGTCTTTACTTCGGCTAAAGAGTACCAAGAGTTGGTTTAATCCAGCCAACCACTCTTTAGCTGATATCCTTACTTCGGCTAAAGAGTACCAAGTGTTGGTTTTTCCAGCCAACCTCTAAGTTAGTTATTCTGGCCAACCTAGAGTGAAGTGTTTGGTTATTCCGACCAAACGTCCTGCAGCCTGGATCCTTATCCTGGGCTTAGGAGGGGTGTTGGTTTTTCCAGCCAACCTCTAAGTTGGTTATTCCGGCCAACCTAGAGTAAAGTGTTTGGTTATTTCGACCAAACGCCCTGCAGCTTGGATCCTTATCCTGGGCTTAGGAGGGGTGTTGGTTTTTCCAGCCAACCTCTAAGTTGGTTATTCCGGTCAACCTAGAGTAAAGTGTTTGGTTATTCCTGCCAAACTTCTTGATTGCCCCCCAAGTCAGACAAAGACTTTTCAGAAAGAGTTGGTCAAACCTGCCAACCCACTTTGCCCCTAGTTAGGCAAAGATTTTTGCGCGGTCGGTCCTACTTGTCAACTATGTTATCTTTTGCCAAAGATGTTTTGTCGGACATCGCTGTTGTGCCAGACTCTGCCTTGGTGCGTGCCCCATCTTCCTTTACCTCGATGTGTTGGTGCACTCTCTCCATTAGGGCTTCCATAGTAAGGGGCAACATCATTGTCATTGAATCCCTTAACTCAGTTCACGATATTCTGCTTCAGTCAATTTTACACAATCAAATAGATACTGCTCGTCTTCTATATAATCTCCAAGCTCCTTCAGTTTCTTCAAATACTCTTGCCTTGAAACTTTCTTTATAGCTCCAATGCCATCTTCCTCAAAAGCATTAGACCTCTGAACAGCTTCCTTTTACTCCGTCTGTGTTAATTTTGGTTCAGCTAGCTTTTTGTTGCTGCTGCATCCCTCTCTTTGGTCATGCAATTGTTCTTCCTCCGACTCAGAACCATCATCATCATCATCCTGAGAAGTCCGTCTTTTAACTCGTCTTTCTTCTTCACTGCTCTTCTTTTTCTTCGAATCTTCCTTCTCTGTCTTCGTCTTTTTCGACTTTCTCTGCTTCGAATCCTGTTTCTCTGTCTTCCGACTCCTTTAAAAGCATTAGACCTCTGAACAGCTTCCTTTTACTCCCTCTGTGTTAATTTTGGTTCAGCTAGCTTTTTTGTTGCTGCTGCATCCTTCTCTTTGGTCATGCAATTGTTCTTCCTCCGACTCAGAACCATCATCATCATCATCTTGAGAAGTCCGTCTTTTAACTCGTCTTTCTTCTTCACTGCTCTTCTTTTTCTTCGAATCTTCCTTCTCTGTCTTCGTCTTTTTCGACTTTCTCTGCTTCGAATCCTGTTTCTCTGTCTTCCGACTCCTTTTTTCTTCCCTTTGCCTTTTATCCGGCTCTTCATAGACTCTATGTCAATCGTCATTCTTCTTATTACTTTGTCTTGCTTCCTTACGCGATCTTCAAGAACCTGTGGATCCATCTTCCGCCTTTGTCTATCAGGGCTTTGAGAGCGGTGTGGACTTGAGTCCTATCTTTCTCTTGTTTCTCTCTGTGGATTCCTTCGCTGGGGATCTAATTTCGCCATGGGTGGGATAGAAGGTAAACCTTCGCGCCTCCCACCCCCTTCCGGTGTTTGCCCATCAATAGCAGATTGTAGCAAGTCTTCATTGTGCGATATTGCTTTCAACTAGAGAGGAAAACTTGATCAAGAGGTTTTGCTCTTCGTGAAATTCCCACAGACGGCGCTAATTGTACGGGAAAGAAATAAACCTTCTCGTATGATCCTGTTGATCAAGTTTGCACTCCTCCAAACGTTGTCGCTTTACTCCCTGAAAACACAAACGTGAGCTAACCGGTGGGTGTGTGCCGGAAACCCCTCCGATACCTAAGTCAGCAACTAGACAATAGACAATATGCTCTGTGTATTTTACAGTAAGAATTGGGATACTTGTCCATAGGTTTGGTCATGAGCTTTTATAGACTTTACTTTGGCACAATCCTAGTAGGATTCCAACTCTTCCTATGAGAGTCCTCCTAGGAATCACACACCCTACTCACTACCAACCAAGTGAGATGGTTTTGCACAATCCTAGTAGGACTCTTAGTAGAGTCCTACTAGGAGTCTCATCACTGCAAGCCAAGTGAGATGGTTGAACCTTTTACCTCGGTTATATATTCCTGCTCGAACTGATTTATCTCGGTCCCCTGCCCTTCGGACCGTGTGATCGAAAGCAGATCTAACAGATGCCACCCTGCCGAGCTATGCACAGCTCAGCCCTCGCCATTGATGCTACCTCTTTTTAATAAGCTACTGCAACCACACCGAGCTAAGTTACCTCGGTCACACACTTAAGTAATGATGTAGATGGCGGCCGAGTTATACCAAGACCGGCGGCCGAGTTATACCAAGCCCGACATCATTTCTCACCAATACCTCGGCTAACCACTAGGCCCACTTATTTCGGCTGACATCTTTACCTCGGCTAACATTGTGGTCAACCAAGTTACTTCGGCTCTGTGATACTTTAAGCACTACTATCAGTCTTGACTTCGAGATGACGCCATGTAGAGCTATCGTTTAGCTCAGTCCTCTTTCTACCGATACCTCAGTCCATAGTTCGGCCCAAACGCAAAATATGAGATGTCTTTTTGGCCTAAGACCGAGCTACACCAGCCCTTATCTCGGTCCATTACGCGGTCTAACTCCCAAAGAAGACTCTTCCTAACTCGGCCCAATTTGTTTACAAATTACCCTCTCACCCATACTGTTTGTTTTTGTTTTGTTTTTTTTTTTAAAGGGAATACCTGGTTTTAGAATTTAGATTTTACTTTTTAGAAAATTGAATTTTTTGTTTTCCGTATGTTTTTGCTTGTACTAATTTTTTCTTAATATTTTAACTAATTTTTTAAATTTTTAGATAAACACACTTAAAAAGTATAATATTTTAAAAAAAAATCTTTAAAAAATTTACTAAATACCAAAAATACTAAAATAAAATAAAATAAAAATTCAATATATTTTTGTATTCTTGTATATTTATTAATTTTTAAAAATATTTTACTTTTTAGGTATATCTAAGTTAAGTCAATATAAAAAATAAAAAAATTATTTAAATTACTAAAAAAATTATGTAGGAATAAAAAAAAAATGAAAAACAAATAAAAAAAAACTCAATTTAAAAAAAAAAGGTGCGAATCACACTAACAGTCCATATAGTTTGGGGCTTGTATCAATTTGATCCATAACTTTTCAATTATGGCACATTTGACCATGATTTTAAATCTTATTTTAAATAAGAACAATTGAATATACCATTTCTTAATTTCAAGGGCAAGTCATCAATTTGATAAAATATAAACTAATTTGACAAAAATAAATGTCAAAAAAATATTTTTGAATTTTTAAAAATTATTTCTACCCACCAAATATAATTATATAAAATTGATAAGTCTTTTACATATTTATTTATTTATTTATTATGATGATCATGTAATGGTTGTTGTTGTTGTTTTTTTTTTTTTAAATGCTTTTTGATGATTATCATGTAATAAATGGTTGTATTTGTTGTTAACAAATATTTTTGAATGATTATCGGATGGTTATTAGACTTTAATGTGTAATTGATATATTGAACATATGAAATATTTTTAGTTTTGGATTTTTTTTATTTAATGGATTGGTTTAATAATGATATCAAAATTGTCACCCATAGTCCCATTTTGGGAAAATAGAAACTAATTTAATGAAAATAAAAATAACCACCTATTATATGATCACCATCCAAACATATATTAAAAATTAATTTGTTAAAAATAAATAAATAAATATGTAAAATATTTATCAATTTGATATAATTTTATCTTTGGTGGGTATAAATAATTTTTAAAAATTAAAAAATAATTTTTTGATATTTATTTTTGTTAAACTAGCTTATATTTTATCAAATTGACCACTTTACTCTTGAAATTGAGCAATGTATTTTTAATTGTCCTTATTTGAAACAAGATTCAAAATTAAGGATAAAATATGTTACAATTGAAAAGTTAGGGATTAAAGTGACACAAATTCCAAACTATAGGGACCGTTAGTGTAATTCGCCTTAAAAAAAATTAAATTTAAAAATTGAAACCAAATAAAATGATACAATTTGCCCTAAAATGTTAGTTTGTGTACTGAATAAAAAGTTGCTTAGTTTGCAAAGAAGAGAATTGAGTCCTTCTTTGACTTTCATAAGTCTAATTTGTCACGTTTTTTATTTATTTTGAATGTTATATAGTTGTTTCACAATTTCCAGATAGTTTGATAGGCTGAATTTTTTATGATAACCAATTAAGGTTGAAGTTGAAATTTTTAAGAATGGGAAAGCCTATCCCATAGAATTGCGAATGTTTTTAAAATAAATTTTAAATTAGTGATAAAATTGATCAATTTTAATAATCAAAATGATAAATTTCTGCATAAATTTAGAATTATTTTATTATTATTATTATTATTATTATTTATTTTTTTGGTCTTCCAGCTGATTTGCAAATTCACCTAAAATTTATATTGGAGTGCCTTTTACACTAAAAAAGAGAACAGATTAATGGAGCTTTGCCATGTGGCACAAGGGCCCACAAATAGATGGACACCACATGTCATATAAGCAAGGCGGACGGTGCGAAAAATTATTAGTTGATCTTAAAGACACCATATGATTATGTGGTGTTTTGAGAAGTTGCTAAAACGTTAATTTTTTAAATTTTTAGTGGTTTTTTTAAACTAAAAAAGCTTTTTGTTTGTTTGTTTATTTATTTATTTGTGTAAAAAAGCTAAAAAGTCAAAAAGTTGATTTTTTACCAAGTTTTCAAATTGCCCTTATATCTTAGGTCAATAATAAATTTTTGTATCTTTTCATATTTTTTAATCATTCAATACAAAATTATAAATATCACTCCCTCCATTAATTAAATTTTACTCACTCCATCAATTACAATATAGTGTCAAGCGTCACATGACACTATTTTGGAACAACTAATGGTGGTGTTTGTTTGGGCTTTTTTGAGCCAACTTATGGCTTCTGGCTTTTGAAAAGCTATTTTAGACTGTTTGGTTAAACTTATTTCAAACAGCTTCTGATTCTAACAACTTATTTTAAGTCAAAAAAGCTGATTCTGAGAAGATATTTAATTAATTTTTAAAATATTTATATATATATATATATATATATATTTTATTTCTTAAGTATATTAAGATTAAGTGGATTTAAAAATTTAAAAATTGATGCAAATATTTTAAAAATATTAAAAATATGAATTAAATATTCAAAAAATTAATTTTGAAAAACTCAAAACTAAAGAGAATGGCGCTACTAGACAAATCAAGCTCATCTGCTTGGCCCAAATATTTTCTGTCATTTTTACTTACATACTAGTGAGATGGCCGCGAGCAAGGCTCGCCATCTCCTACCCATTGTTGGTATTCATTATTAATATTAAAAGAAAAACCATAATTAAAGAAATAAGTAACACAATTTTATTAAAATTGTTTTTCATAATTATTGTTATTATTACTAATTTCTTAGTTGAATTCCTGACACAAGGTGAAAAAATATTAATGCATATAGAGGAAAATGTTGAATTATAGCAAATCATAGACGTAGTAATTTTAATATGAGAGTTAAACATAAACCAAACAACAATAAACAACAAACCATAATACAACTTATAACAACAGCAGCAAGCCCTTTGAGCCTCACCAAAAACCACCTGAGCTTAGTGAGTTAGTTCCAGATTTGCTTCAATTCAAGTAGAGCAGCCATTGTACGCATCAGCAAATCACCCAATACAACATCATATAGCAATCAAAATTATAATAGCCAAGTAAAGCAGCCTTATGCTTGAGACTTGTATCACCAACAAAAGCCAACCCTCAAGAAGCTGATCTAATCAGAAGCATTCCCCTGCATTCATCAATCCAAAGTGCTGCAATTGCTCATAGCAACAGTAAAAGGTTGCACCCGAACACCACCCACCTTCAAAATTTTCAATCTAGATAGGTCAGTCATCGGCCGCACCAGCATAAGATGACCCTCCCAGCATGAAAACAAAGCAAAATAATCTCCTTTTTGTAGCAAATAACTACAGCAACAGAAAATGTATGGCATCCATATGACAAGTAGTATAACCCATGCTTTAAACAAGCAACTGTAGTAGCGCGACTTAGTAATTGAGCACCAAACAAACAGGCATCATGTCCCTTCAAACTTGATAGGACAAATCACAATTTAGACCCAAGACATCTTCTAATATGATGGATATTTGAAACAAAATCATTCACTGAATACGAATTCCCAATTAACTGATTCTTCATCCACAAGGCAATCGTTACTTTAATAAGATCACATAGATCGGATGAGCACCATTAAAAAAGTACTCATTTCTAAGCTTCCAAATTTATACCCATCAAGAAGCAATAAAATAAAGGGGCATTTACACATA